GTGGAAGGCCTGGTGGTCGCCGAAAATACTACTGGCCACCCTCCCCACCCAAATTTTACAAATAAAAATAATTACAAAATACAAAAATTCATTGGGAGAGGCATGCTGGCCACCCAAAAGAGGACATGTCCGGGGAAACCCGGATGTATGGCAGCCCTATCTCAAGGTGACTTACGTAGTAGTTTATGAATCAAAATGCATCAGTGTTTATATACATATATATGACAAGATTATGATTATGGTTTATTGAATTTATATACCGCCCTATACCCAGAGGTCTCGGGGCAGTTCACAGAAAAGATCAACATAAAACCCACAATATATATAATCAAAATAAAAACAACAACCCAATAACACCTGCTCTGCCCTCCCCCCAAAGAGCCACATTTTAAAAGGGCATAGGATGTCAATCAGATCAGCCAAAGGCCTGCTTAAAAAAGGAACGTTTCTGCCTGGCGCCTAAAGGTGTATAATGAAGGCGCCAGGATAACTTCCCTGGGGAGAGCATTCCACAGGCGGGGAGCCACTGTAGAGAAGGCCCCGTTCTCGTGTTGCCGCCTTCCAGATCGCTCAAAAAGGACGCCTTCTACACAAAAAAACACACAAAAAAACCAACAACCCAGCAGGAGCGGAGGAAGGGGGGGGCATACCGCCCCGGGTGTCTTCGCTGAGGGGGGTGACATTTGGTGTGCAACTCTCAAGCCTACCCCGAGTCATCGGGGGAAGGGGGTGCCTGCACCACTTTGCCGGCTGCACTCTCCCCTTCCCCCTTTGTTTTGACGGCTTGGGAGTCGCAGGCGGGCAGCGTGCTGAATGTCCGCCATTGGCGGCTCACTCCACCCCCATGGGCGGCTCGCTCCGCCCCTGGCTGCAGGGCACACGCGCCACTCCATGCACCCAAGCAGCTATCCCGCACCTGGGAGGGCACCTTCTGCACCGCACCGCACCCCCTCGGGAGCACTCCCGCCCTGGGCAGCGCGGGCATATGCTCTGCTGCTGCCACCCAGGAGTAATAAAATACACATTCAGCAGATACTATGAAATTTATTTTCCACAAATCCAACTCTTGTCAAAGGGCATCATAGCAAAATAGGTATCAATGGGCAGAACCACTTGAAACAGAGAAGTCTTCAAAGCCTTCCTAAAAGACTGGAATGTGGTACTTTCTGGGCTTCCCATAGCTGGCCGCTTTGAGAACAGGATGCTCGATTTGACAGGTCTTTTTTTTTTTGCCTGGTGTATTCTAGCCTTTTCTGACTTGGTCCCCTCCAGATATTTGGGACTGCAACTCCCATCAGCCTTGGCCTTCTTGGCCAATGGGCAGGGGTGACATGACTATTGATTTCAGCTCCCGGCAAATGAATCCGTGAATCAGACAAATAACACAAAGGGACAGGACTTTGGCACGCAGTGGTTCTCAACCTCTGCGTCCCCAGATGTTGTTGGACTACAACTCCCATCATCCCTGAGCTCTGTCCTTGCTAGCTAGTGATGGGAGTTGTAGTTCAAGAACATCTGGGGACCCACAGGTTGAGAAAGGCTGGTTAGAGGATTTGAGATCTTGGAAAGAAAGGTGAGAAAGCTACATTGACCAGAGATCTTTATCTATTGTGTTTTCCCCTAGGAGTGGCTGACCCAGTATGGATACCTTCCTCCAGCGGATCCCGTAACAGGACAGTTGCAGACTTGGGAGGCAGTAACCAGTGCCATTCGTGTAATGCAACGTTTTGCAGGCATTGCGGAGACTGGGATTCCAGGTATAGTTCTATTTTTAAAAAGCAACTCTTAAGAATTCTAGTTCCTGTTATTTCTCACCGGCTATGTTCACGCCAGACTTGTATTGAAGCACTAACCTTGTAGCTCGTACCAGCATGCTGGCCAGTATGTGAAGTTTCAGTAGAGCATGAGACTCTTGGTTGTGAGTCCCCCCTTGGTTGTTCGAACCCCGCATTGGGTAAAAGATTTCTGCATTGCACGGACTTGGACTGGCTCCTTCTTTGGCACCTACCGTATTTTTCGCTCTATAAGACGCACCAGACCACAAGACGCACCTAGTTTTTGGGGGAGGAAAACAAGAAAAAAAATATTCTGAATCACAGAAGCCAGAACAGCAAAAGGGATCGCTGCGCAGTGGAAGCAGCAATCCCTCTTGCTGTTCTGGCTTCTGGGATAGCTGCGCAGCCTGCATTCACTCCATAAGACGCACACACATTTCCCCTTACCTTTTAGGAGGGAAAAAGTGAGTCTTATAGGGCCAAAAATACGGTACTTTATGGTCTTTCGGGTAGGAGATTAAGACCTCCCTCCCAGCCCAGCCCTTTTAAATTCCTAATTTTAAAATCTAAAATCAGTTTTCATTGTTTCCTGCGGTTGCTGTGTGATTTCGTTACCCTGATTTTATTCTCTGCTTTATAGTTTGTTATTTATAGTCATTGATTGATTGATTGATCGATCTCCCAACTGGGATAGCTCAGTCAGTGGAGCATGAGACTTTTCATTCCAGGGTTGTGTGTTCAAGCCCCACATTGGACAAAATATTTGAGCATTGCAGGACTTGATGACCCTTGTGGTCCCTTCCAACTCTGTAATTCTATTCAATCATTCTGTTCTATTATATAGATAAATAGTTGCCCAGAAAACTTTGCTGTTGTTTATAAACAAACAGATAGATAATGAACAGCTCTAAAGCTGGATTCCAAAAATCTCCAGTTGTATCCCGTATAAGTGAGCTCTGCAGATGTAATCCCTTGAGTCTGGAATTGATCCAAGTACAGATAAGACCAGGATTTATGCTCAGAAAGGCTAGACTAAAGTAGAATTCCAGGGGGTGGGGGGTCAGAATATGCACCCCCCCAAAAAACAAAAGCTCTAATCTTCTAAGGCAGGCGTAAATGTGATTCCTGGCCCACCAACTTTTGGGACTACAGCTTCCATCATCCCTGACCATTGGCCTTCTCTCTGGGGCTGGTGGGAATTGTAGTCCCAAACCATGCTGCCTAACCCTGTTTGAATAAAACTACACATAGTTTCCCACTATGGGATACTCTTGAGGCCAAGTTGAATTGATGAGTTTCAGAGGGCTTTCAGAGATGATCAGAATCTTAAATATCATGGCATCCAAATCCAGACTTGTGGTCTGTTCCCCTCCAAACAAACCATGGCTGGAACGCAAGTTTTGTTCTTGGCTTATTGCTTGCGGCTTGTTTGGAGGAAACAAGGCCAGATTTGGATACCAGAAGACACCAGACTCTGAGGGCAAAATGAGCTGTGTTTGAGCACACTGTATGAGCACACCCATAATTTGCCTTAAACCACAGTTTATGTTTTAATTATGGTTCAACGTCTGCATGCAAGCCAACTCTGTGCCCGGGTTGAGCCACTTCAGATTTTACATGGGTGTGCACACAACAAATACTCATCGGTCCCAAAATGTAACTGTGAGCATTCGCCTGCAGTCTGATGTGGTACCGTAAGTCTCAGGCACTGATTCCCTACCTTGGTAAAAACTAGGCTCAGGCAGGCAGCATGGAGACCTCCTGATGAGTGCATTCCCAACTGCCCCAGCCGTATGTACATATGCATGATGGGAGCTGTAGTCTATTAACATCTGGATGGCACCATATTGGTGACCCCTAAACTTGAGGGAGGCAAGATTCTGGACTAGGAATAATAATAATAATAATAATAATAATAATAATAATAATAATAGTAATAATTTATTATTTGTACCCCGCCCATCTGGCTGGGTTTCCCCAGCCACTCTGGGCGGCTTCCATAGAAACCAAAGATACAGTAAAATATCACAGATTAAAAACTTCCCTGAACAGGGCTGCCTTAAGATGTCTTCTGAATGTCAGGTAGTTATTTATCGCAGGCGCCACTACCGAGAAGGCCCTCTGCCTGGTTCCCTGTAGCTTTGCTTCTCGCAATGAGGGAACCGCCAGAAGGCCCTCAGCGCTGGACCTCAGGAACATAGGAAGCTTCTACTGCTGGGCCCGGGGGTAACCCATGAAACGTGGTCCAGGACCAGAACAGAATCCAAAGCTTCCGCTAGGAGTTAGTCCGACAGAGCCAAGGCAGGACACAAGGCAGGAAACCAGGCAAGGACAAGTACAGGATCTCAGGCAGGATCTGGCATATAGCAATGTTGCTCCCGCAACCTGGGGCGGGGTCCGACAGTCTTTTATCTTTATCAGAGTAGCAGCCGGTCCTGATCCCCCGGCGACTCACCTCCCTGTTTCACCTGAAGGCGAGCACTCCTCCTGCAAGTACTCAGGTCTCTCCTTCTCTCAGACCTGAGTCTCTGCAGCTCGGGAGATGTTGGTGGGTTACTAGACCCAGGGGCTGCCTCAGCCTCCTCTGACCCAACTGGTAGTGGAGCAGCTATAAGTGATGGCTCAGCTGAAGGCAATGAGGTAATCTCCACATCTGGAGCCAGGGCAGGCTCAGGCCCCTGACTTGGCCCAGCTGGTGTTTGTTGCAGGGGAACCTGTGCAGACTGGGACTCTTCAGGACCAGGCCCCAGACTTGGTTCAGATGATGCCTGAGGCAAAGGATCTGGTGCAGATTGAGTCTCCTCTGGTTCTGAGTCCAAGCCTGAGTCCTAGGCCACCACAGTCAGACTATTGGTCCATCTAACTTGTCTATACTGACTGACAGCAACTATCCAGGATTCCAGACAGAAGTCTCTCCTAGCCCTGCCTGGAGATTGACCCTTGGACCTTCTGCATGCACTGCAGATGTCCTACACTCTGAGCTACATTTCTATCAACGCCGGATTTAGGGTGGCATGGGTGGTTCCCCCACACAGGGCACCAAGCCCAGGGGGCACAAAACAACAGCAACCATCTATATTTATATTGGTACCTACTCAAAGTTTTTGTGTGTGTGTGTGTGTGTGTTGTCCTCATTCATGGCACCATATTACAGAGCCCTCCCTTGTTTCTATTTCCCTTGAACTCAAACAGATGATGCCACGTTGGCTCTGATCCGAATGCCCCGCTGTTCGCTTCCCGACGTTATCAGCACCTTCCCAGAAAAGCTTCCTCTGCGGAGGAGCAGGAGCAGGAAAAGGCGGAAGAGAAGGAAGAGTCGGAGCAAGCGGAGCGCAGGCTCGGTTTGGACGAAGCGGAACATTTCCTGGAGGTAGGTATCAGCATTGTTTTGCTAATGTATTTATTTGCTCCATTTCCCACTAGTAATTGTTGTTGCACTGTGTCTCCCATCAGCCCTGGCAAAGGCTGATAGAAACCCAGCAATATCTGGAAGGCTTCAAGGTCCCCATCCTTGTTTCGGTATGCCTGAAAGATGAAGCGAGCTGGTGGTGCATGACAAACGTGAAAACAAAGAAAGGGTTTCTGCATGCTAGATAGTCTACCTGTTGGGCTGAACTGAGGAGAAATGGTGGGGACCGCCTCCCCCTTCTCCTGAACCTTCCTGAGAACAGGAGGACAGTATAGATTTAGAATAGTGGTTTGCAGAAGGGCATACTGTAGTTCAGAAGCTGGGAAATGTTGGAAGAGGAACAGCAGGAAGAAGAAGCACCAGGGGAGAGACAGCTGACAGACTCAGTGTCTTTGGAAAGTATTCCTGACCCCCTTCTCCCAAGACCTGGTGGGCATTGAGGGTAGTGGGAGGGATCTAACTCCCCAAAGCCTGACACTATCAGGTCGCTATGTGGGCCTTCACTTGTAACTTGTAACTAGCCTTTATTGGCTGAAGTTAAAACAGCAAAATCATAAAATCATACAAAGTCATCCAAATTCATTAATAATCCAAATACATACAATATATCAAAGAGCAACCATTGAATAAATCAGGCAACTTTAGCTTTTCAAGATCTCGCTAAGTACTCCAAAACAATCTTGGTAGTTTCGGAAGTATCATCCCTCAACAAATATTGGATTACAGACTCCTTGCAAATCATTTTTTTTGAGCTGTGAGGGGGTCAGGAGGAGATCTCTGCGATGGGCCTTCGCCAATGGACCTTCCCTTAGACGAGTTTTTGATTTGATCCAAGAAGGGTCTCCTCACCTTCCATTCTGTGTCTGGTCCAGGCCAAAGAGGCGAGGGATCTGGTTGCTTCCCACCTGTACATTCTCTCCAACATAGAGTGAAGACCTACCCACGGGAAGCCCGCCTCAGCCGAGAGACCATGCGAGTATTGATGTATTATGCCTTGAAGGTATGGAGTGAAGCTACACCCTTGAACTTTCATGAGGTGGGCAGCCACACGGCTGACATCTCTGTGGAGTTCCTCCGCCTGGACCACCGCGATGGCTACCCTTTCGATGGGCCGGGTGGAATGGTCGCTCATGCCTTCTTTCCTGGAGACCCTCAGAGGGCTGGCAACGTCCACTTTGATGGCGACGAGGAATGGACGTTCCGTTCACCAGGTGACTTGGCTTTCTTTGCATGGTGGGTTGGGGATGGAAGAGTCAAGGTGCGTTTCACCAAAAGAGAAGGGAAAGTGGCAGTGGAGGCAGGGCCACTGCCACAACTAGAAGAGGATTTGTCTTCCCAATTTCCTTTTGGGATATTTAGTCACTATCCACTTGATGGTTGAGGCTTACAAAGTGCTTTGCACTGGGCTTTGCCAGCACTGATCATCAGTGGACATCATCGTAACGTCATGAGATGGGCCTTCTTTGCAGTGGCTCCCCGTCTGTGGAATGCTCTCCCTAGGGAAGTTCGCCTGGCGCCTTCACTATACACCTTTAGGCACCAGGCAAAAACGTTCCCCTTTAACCAGGCCTTTGGTTGATCTTATTGACATCCAACACCCTCTTAGAATGTGGCCCTAGAGCTGGCGAAATAGTCATCCACTTAGAATCACTTAAACTGCCTGGGTATTTAATTCGGTGCTGAAGTGATAGCAGAGTTTGGTGTCTGTTGCATTGGGAAGGTTGATGAAGTCTTCCCTTGCACCATTTGCTCTGTAGACACCTTTTCAGCAGTTCATCTGCTCTTGATTGTTTTGCACCTGTCTGGGACCCTTCAGGCCTTCCACTGGTGCTTGTGAGGACTCTGAGCCCCTTCCCCACCACTCTCTTAGTGGTGACAGTTACCTTTTCTTTCCTCGAAATCACAGAGAGCTTCCTCTTTCAGCCCTATGTGCTTTTCAAGGCTCAGATTCCTTCTAGCACAGGAGAAGTTAGTCTCTATGGGCATGCTTTCTCTCCTCCTGTTTTTCAGGGGTGGGGGGCTGCTCTGGGGTTAGGGAGCGGAGAAGTAACCACATGGGGTGGTGCCTATGACACTCATTCAAAAATCTAAATGTGCCCACGGATCTGAAAAGGTTGGTGACCCCAGCCATGGTTGGATTGATACTGAATGGACATGTATGCCTTGTGCAAGCCATTGGGCTAAATGGACTTCCTTCCTTCCTTCCTTCCTTCCTTCCTTCCTTCCTTCCTTCCTTCCTTCCTTCCTTCCTCCCTCCCTCCCTCCCTCCCTCCCTCTCTTTCTTTCTTTCTTTCTTTCTTTCTTTCTTTCTTGTTTCCATTTTTTTATTTATGCTTTTCAAGTTTATACATTTCACTAATTTTATACATTTCACTAATTTTACAATCATTCTGACATTTCAAAACTTGACTTCCTTCCCCCTCTTTCTGCAGTTCCTCAAATTTATTTTTAATATCTTCTGCATATCCAAATTAACTTAATTTACTCATTTATTCATCTTCTTTAAATATATACTCTTAGAAACCTGCAGGGTAATACAATAATCCTGCCAATATCCTTATCTGTTTACAGTTTGTTTGTAAATATTCAACAAACCATTTCCATTCTTTTATAAAAAGTTTGTTATCTTGATTTCTTATTCTTCCAGTAAGTTTTGCCATTTCTGAATATTCCATAAGTTTTTGTATCCAATCTTCCTTTGCTGGGACTTCTGCTTCTTTCCATATTTGGGCAAGTAACATTCTTCCCGCTGTACTTGCATACATGAATAAGTTTCTATACATTTTAGGTAGTTCTGTCCCTATAATTCCTCAAAGAATGGGTTGTTGTTTTTTACAAATGTTATTCTGTGGTTGGTTTGCCCTGGCAATGTGTTTGTGATTCTCCCGATAAGTCATGCTCTTCTTTTGACAGATGATTTTGGCACTGACCTATTTGCTGTGGCAGTTCACGAGTTTGGCCATAGCCTCGGGCTGGCACATTCACCCTCCAAGCATTCGATCATGCGCCCCTACTACCAGGGACCAGTGGGAGACCCACTGCAATACCAGCTGCAAGCGGATGACCGGACTGAGATACAGAAGCTTTATGGTATGTGCAGTGGGTGGATTGCTGAACAGCATGGACCTACTCTAGGGAGGACTTCATCTAAGTCTCTCTAGATCATTGGGACCTGCTGAGAGGTCTCTGGGTGATTTGTAGTAGATCGGCAAGGATTCCTGACTCCCGGTTGCTGAGCATTTTGTGACAAAGGCCACATTTGCACCACACATTTAAAACACTACGATACTGCTTTAACAGCCGTGGCTTCTCCCAAGGAATCATGGGAACTGTAGTTTGTTAAGGGTGCTGAGAGTTGTTCCTCTCGCAGAGCTGCAATTTCCAAAGTGGTTTAACAATCAATCTCTGGGACTTGTGTAGGCGAGGCTCTCCTAACATCTCTGTAATGATAACTAGAAGTATACAAAGGTACAGTTAATTTTCACGATCTTTACCTTTAACTAGATAACAAGCTTACCCAAACTGATCAAAGCAGATGTCTTCATCTGCCTGTCTTGGATAGGGTTGCCATATTTTTTAAAAAGTAAAAACAACTAGGACACCCTGAAAGTTTTTTAACTTTGGTTTTTTTTTAAACTCGAAGGTTGTTCAGCTTTTTTTTAGACAAATCCCAAGGTTGCTTGCAAAAACACCCCAAAACTGTGATTTTTCAGTTTACTCGCCAAAGATCCAAGACAAACCATTGCCCTCGTCCTGGAGAATGAGGCTGGATCTAGACACATCAAAGAAGCATTTCAGTTAAACGCGTTGTAAACTTTGTAGGAGAAATCGAGTTAGCAAAAACGGACCTCCACAGCGCCATCTGGTGTCACAGTGTTAGAATGCATAAACAGAGCATATAAAGCGTTTTTTCTTTGCCATTGTAGCTGAGTCCT